TAATCAATAAGGCTCCTTCTCCTAATCTTCATTACAACAATCCTACTTACAAACTCAAAGCAGTCCCTAGTAATATTACACAAAATCACATCAACAGAGCTCTTTCTATTTTGGATCAATTGCTTCTATTGTAAACTAATATAAAAATTGCTATTCCTCGTCACGTGATATTATCATCACATTCGATAAAGTTAGAAAATCACATCAATTAAATACTGCTTAAGTACATAACATAAATGGACAAGTTATTAGATATGCATATATTGATACTTTATTAGAAGAATTAAAAGACAGAAACCGTTATGTGACTGATTTCAAAAGCTTTATGAACAAAATAACATCATCTAATGCTTTCTGTACCTTAAGGGCCTTTAATGTTAGATTATGTTATTTCCATAATAATATTGCCTATGTTGCCTATGCTGCCTTTGTACCAGAAGAAGATATGAACTCTGCCTACTCACAAAGAATTATACACAATAAATACAAATTAGATGAAAGACCTAGAGTTCTTAATTGTTCCTATACTTAAGCTGAATTAGTCCTTTCATTAGATACCACTCCTTAGGTTTTCTGTTAATAATTATCAAAGAACCAGATGCCCCTTATTCAACAGTAATTTAAAAAAAAGGAAAGGCAAAGATGTTGACTATACACTCTCTACTACATCAAATTTTGAAACTCTTATCAACAATAATTCCAATCCTCTTGATTTAATCTTATCAAAACTTCAAGAATTAGATTCAATTAAATCTCATTTGACAAAATTATATTCTCAGATCCTTACCTTTATCAATCATGATGGGCCTACAGCTCGTCATTTATAACATATCTCACACTAGGCGAATTATAGCTAAAAGTATTTTCACTGATAACTGGAATACTTCTGTTACTAATATAGATGTTAACTCTTTTTTAAATAATCAGGTTTCCTACTTTTACAATAATAGACAAAACAGCATTAATAAAATCGATAAAGATATTTCACACCTAGATGATGACACATGCAGTAACATAATTAAAGGTGACATAATTATGTTTGTCACACATAATATACGAGGAATCAATAATATCACAGATCCTATTAAATCTTCACAAATAATAGAACACTTTATACACAACGATATAGATTTTGTTAATCTTATCGAAACTCATCATAATTCCTCAATGCTTTACAAATACAAATAAGATCAACACTATACAACTTTTTGGAGCTAACCTGATCCACTACAACCTTTTGCAGGTATTACCCCCCTCATTTTAAAAAAATGAGACAAACATATCATTTCTTCGTTTACATCAGATCCACGTTTACTTTATGTGAATCTATTTTTAAAAGGACATGTAAAACTTAAAATAATTAGCTGCTATGTTCATACTAATGTAATAGATCCTAAATATAGACATTATCATAAACTCCTATAAAAACAAATTCTTAATCTAATTGATGAGTGTAACAAACAGCAATATTATACAATTGTAATAAAAGACTTTAATATAGATATAGATGATTATCATGAATACTTAAAATTCAATAAAAATCTTGGCTGGCACTTTGATTTAGTAGAAGGATTTTCATATAGAAATTATATAGATCTATAGCTATATTATAATGATGATATCTTTTCAACCTTTTTTTCATCACGCAGTACAATTAAAACCTACACACCTAAGAGACTAGATGAGATTTTCTGTTCATCAGGCTTCTTTGCTGATTTCCTTTACTGTGGTATTTTAAAGCCTTTAATTTATCAATCAGATCACAAGATAGTTACTTCATTCTTTACTAATCCTATTAAAAGATAAGAAGCCTAAGCAAGATATAATAAGACAAAGAGAAGAAAATTAAACTTCGTTATAATGACTATACAACAATGAAAACTTTTTGCAGAAGTTACTGATATACAATTCAAATAACACAACATAGATAAACTACTTTTACTACTTAAATCTCACCACAATATGAATTGTTTATGAAAATATTTCAGAAATGCTATTATAACTGCTACCACTAAATCCATTCCCTATAAATGGATTTTAGCAGATTAAAAAACTCCTAAACTAAAAAAACTAATAACTTATTATGATTATATGAAACTAATTAATAAATAGTAATAAAATTCAGAGCCGCTAGAGTGAATTCAAGAACTTGGCCTTTAGGAGATGAATGGATTGCTGACTTCAAAGTTATCAATAAAGTTACATTTTCAGCAAAATTACAACTGACTTCTTTACCAAACATACTTATTGAAATCAATGTTAAAGAAGTTAGAAAACTATTATTAAAATTATATTACAACTTAAAAGCACTGTCTAGAATTGAAGAGGCTAATATTTCACATCAAAGAATAAAATATTTAATTAATCAATATTGCCTTCAATACAAATCAAATCCAGGAAAAATGATTCAATCAGCACTAGGACGATCAAAAAAAACTATTGTATTAGATTGTTTTATTATTAGAGACACAAATAGAAATGTTCTCTAATTAATGATCCACACCTTATCAAACTACATGTGAATAACCACTTTCAAAACTATGCTGTTTCTGATACACCTGTTACTTCTTTCTTTGGAAGATTGATTGTTCAATATTAACTGAAAGATTATGTTGATGAAAACTGGTTTAATAATCTTATGCAACCCTACTATAGAAGAATTATCTTCAGTTATCTTTTAACTTCCAAATGATAAAGCCGTTGGTCTATCAGAAATTCATAATGAAATAATAAAACACTTAAGTTACAATACACATTATTTACTTTGAAGCTAATCAAAATGTGTTTTGAGATGAATAATATACCATCAGAATGGAAGATAGCCCATATATATCCAATACCCAAATCTGTAAATTGGGATTGTGATATTATAAAAACTCGTCCTATTATCTTACTAGATACTACTAGAAATGTTTTTGTAAAAATTATTACTAATCATTTTTCTCAAATACTCGTCAAATACAATGTATTAAAAGGAAATAATTATGCTAATCTTCCTGAAGAATCAACAGAGGATCTAATTAAAATAATAAACTTAATAATTGAGGATGCTGTTGAAAATAAAAAAGAATTATAGATCCTTTTACAAGATTTGTTCAAGGCATATGATAGAGTGGATCTTAATATTCTCAAGCTCATATTCAGAAGAATAAAAATCCCAGAAAATTGCATTTCATATATTATCAATCTTTTTACAAATAGAATAAACGTTATTTTCATCCAAAAAGCCTTTTTGACTATTATGATGTCCAAATCGATATTGATCAAGAAGAAGTCATATCACCTTTATTATGGTATATTTATTTTGATCCTCTTCTGTGCAAAATAGACAGCTTAAAAAAATGTTATACCATAAAACATTCTTAGATTTCTAATGTTAAAGATATATCTTTATCCTCTTTATCAACACAGATCTTTGCTTTAGGCTATATGGATGATTTAAACTGGATTGCACATTTCAAATAAAATTTAGAAGACATATTAGAAGTTACTGATGAATTTTATTCTATCACTAAAACTGCCATCAACAAATCAAAATCCTAATTATTAATAAATACTGTCACAATATCACAACTAATACCTATTAAATTTGGATCTAGCATTGTTAATATTAAACCAGAACTCAGTTCTATTAATTTTTTAGAAGACTGGATTAATATATTTAATTTAAAGAATTTTGTCAAAAAACAGACTAAATATACCATTACCAAATTCACCATAATCCTTAAATATAAACCACTTACAGACAAACAACTCATCTACATCCTTAATATAGTACTCTTTCCACTATTAGAATACAATTTATAGACCACTCTACTATCCACTAAGATGGATTGTTAAACATAATTTATTAATGATCTCTACTACTCCTGATTGTTTATTTAAAGGTAGCATCTTTACAACTTGAATGATCTATAGATGCAACAATTAAAATCATATTCTACTATGTTTTTTTACTAATTTAATTTGAAATTAACATACAAATACATCTCAATAATTCGATTATTTTAACTACAATCTCAACACTCATTATCCGTTTCCTCTTTACAAAAATAGGACAAAAAATTTGATGCTAAATCTTACAAAAATATCATTAGCGCTATATTGAGTTTATTAAATCATGAGAATATTGGAATTCTCTAATTATAAATTAATATTTAGCTAACAAAATTAAAGGCAGCTCCCTACTTTTGAATCTTATATTCAATACCAATGAGTTAAAGAAATATAGTAATATTCTACATAAATACTTCCTACTTTTTATTGATCAATTCTTAGACATCAATGGTTCTCATCTTTTAAACTGGAGAGAAATTACTTAAAGAAATATATATAATCATATACCTGCAGCCCACACTCCTAAATTGTATTATATAGTTGAAAGAAAATTTCTAGATAGTTTAAATAGTAGATTAGTAAATAGTTCTTATAGATTAGATGGTATACCGTATCCTTCTGATTTTAAGCACCATCTCAACTTTCGGCACAAAACTTGAAAAACAAAAATAAGCACCACCCAAATTTGAAAAAATTTTATTATATTTCATATTTTATTTCAAAATAAAATTTTATTTTACAATTCATCATCATTTTCCAATTCATCTAATTCATCAGCCAAATCACTATCTATATTTATAACTTCTTTTTCATTTTCATCAATTTCCTCCTCTTTTTCATCTTGCCCAAACAAATCGTCTTTTGATCCATCCATTGCGTTACTAATATTGCATTTTTTAAATGACTTTACAATCATTTCCTTTGGAATTTCCACCCATGCTTCAAGTATTCATTTGCAAATAATATTATATTCAGGCTTTCTTAAATTTCCACCTTTAGTATAAGAAAATTGACCTGAACTCATCCAAATGTTCTACTTTTCACAAAATCTATCTTTAAATGGCTTATTAAGACAAACATCAAGCGGCTGAGACCATTAAGAATGATTGCTAAATCAGTATTTTTATCAAATGCAATTTTTTTTATAGCATCCGTCTTATGACCTTCAAAACTATCCATAACAAGAAGGGATCTTTGTTTATTGATTCTATTTCCTCCCAGTCTTTTTCTCCAAACCTTATCAAACCAGGTTTTCATTTCAGATTCATCTATCCATCCTTTTGAATGCATCAATACAATAATTCCAGAAGGTAAATTCTTTGGCATTTGCTTACCTTTAAAAATGACAATTGGTGGTAATTTTGTACCATCTGCAAAAACCGTAAGAACACATGTAAACTGATTTTTTTCATTTTCAGTTGTTCGAATTTGCACAGTTTTAGCATTATGATTTTCTATAGTTAAGTTTCCAACCATATCAAAATAAACAGGAGTTTCATCCATGTTTCTAATTTCACAAAGTTCATATTCAAATTGTTTTCGTTTTTTAATAATAAACCGCTAAAACTCCAAAAGTTTGTCATTAAGGTGAGTAGGAAGTTTTTGGCCGATTTTTGTTTTACGTCGCAGAGAAAATCCATTCCTTTTAAGAAAACTATAAAACCAACGTTCTGAAGCAAGAAAATTTTCACTATTTGGATAAACATGAGCAAACTCTTTTATAAAATTTCTTTTATATAAATTTTAACCATTTTAGAAGTCACTGCAATACCATCTTTTCAAAATTCTATAAACTATGTTTTTAAACTAGTTTTAGCTTTGAGATATTGTGCTTTTCTTTCTGCACCAATACGTCGATTTTTTCCTTTTGCTGACTTGAGTTTATCTCCCTGTTTTTTCTAACGTGAAATCATTGAATGATCAATAGAAAAATGACGTGCAGCTGCTCTTTGACCATGATTTTTTGCATATTGCAAA